TGTGTATATATATAGCTTGTTAAAGTTTGACCATGTTTGACCTATTAATTTAACTCGTTTACTTAATACTAATAACTTCTTTTGTTTATTTAATTTGTGATCCATATATATGTGTGTGTGTGTGTGTGTGTGTGTCAAAGATGTTTAGTATTAATTCTTCTATTTTTCATTCATTCATCACTAATAATGCATTACATAGATTAATCGATATTGGTCGAGACGTTTTGTTTTTACTATTAGTCGATATAGGTCAAACGTTTTGTTTTTAGTATTCATCGATGCATCTAAGTAAGTTATAAGTCGATGAATCAATTTACATATAGATATATTTGATGATAAATTATATATACTAATTAGGATCTTCACAAGTGTCACGACCCAAAATCCCACCACAGGCGTCGTGATGACACCTATTCTCTAAGACTAGGTAAGCCGATTTCAATTACATTTTTGGAGCCATTTTTTTTAATTAAATAAGTAATCAAAACTAACAACGGAACAAATATGAATGTACAATCTCCCAAGACTGGTAGTACTGAGTTACGAACTCTAACTGAATACATGGAATGATCACGAGGACCAAATATACAATACTGTTTGATTAAAATTAACAGTACAATGAAATGAAAAGACTCCAAGGGATTGCGACGACCAAGCAGCTCTACTTTGAATTCTTACGATNATTCTCATTATTTACTCACGGCACCTCGTGCTCACATTTCATTTTATAAACCGCCTGGCAATAGCCACAGGCTCTCAATTTCAACATAAATCAGATTGTTATCAATTTACCAACAACAAGATAAATTGCACAAGGTATAAAAGTAAACACAAGAAAATCACAACATCACATGAAAATTATCAACCCCACATCATCACATATCGTCCCTGACAATAGCCATCCTTATCGCTCCTATTGCCGCCCTTATCACTCATATAGCTACCCTTATCGCTCCGCTCAGACAATACCAATAGCCACCCTTATCGCTCCTATAGCCACCCTTATCGCTCCGCCCAGACAATATTCCAACAAACACAACAGTGAAATGCCACCCTTATAACCACATAATATCAACGGTGAATTGCCACCCTTATCTCCCCAAAATAACAACTCACACAACACAACAATTTACACGAAAAATTATCACAACAACATAACAAAATCAATTCATATCACAATTTGCCCAATGGCCACAACCAAATTCCAAACCTACAACCAAGTCAATTAATTTCACAATAAATAGCAAAAAGCTCCACACAATGTGTACACCCCCCAAAAATAATCAATAGAGATAGAAATTACTCAACATAAAGCAAACTCTTCATTAAATTAAAATTTTTAATAATTATATAAACACCTCTTCTTAAGNACGGCACCTCGTGCCCATAATTAAATCATCATATTTTTCCGGCACCTCGTGCCCTCATTTCATATCACAACTGCACGGACAATTCACGTGCCTATTATCATTATCATTTCTTTNAAATAATCAAGTAACAATCACATCAAATTGTCATATAACAACAGATTCAACAACAACAAAGATTAAGGCACGACAATTAGATGATTAAATATATACCAATAATTACTCAATTTACCACACAATATGCTCAGGACTTTAACTCAATAAAATTTACACATATAAGACGAGTACGTACTAGTCACCTCACGTACACGACTTTTGACATTTCACAAATGGCACATAAGACTCGATGCCTAAGGGGTAATTCCCCCACTCTAGGTTAAGCAAGACACTTACCTTTTTGAAGTTAGGCCGATATTCCAAAATAGCCTTCTTGCTTGAATTGACCTCTGGACAACTCAAATCTATCCAAATTAATTGTATAGCTTCATTAAAATTCATCAGAAATAATTCCGGATAATAATACGTCGACTTAAAATTTTATTCCAAAAAGTCAACAAAAGTCAACGCGGGGCTCGCCTCTCGGAACCCGACATATTTTTTATGAAATTCGAATACCCATTCCGATACGAGTTCAACCATACCAATTTTATCGAATTCCAACAACAAATCGACCTCCAAATCTTAAATTTAAACCAAGAAGGTTTTCTAAATTTTTCAACCCAATTCACTAATTTAGTGATAAAAACAACAATAGATGCATGTAATTTAACCAAAATCAAATTAGAAATTCTTACCCCAATATTTTCCTTGAAAAACTCTCGAAATATCGCCTCACCCGAGCATCCTTGGTCCAAAAATAAAAGAATGACACGAATTTGGACTTTATTCTGCTCCTCAGGGGTTTGTTCTTCACGTTCGCGAGACTCTCCTCGCGTGCGCGATGAACAAATTCTTCAAAAGTCATTTTCAAACTTTTCTCAGACAGCCTTTAGTATAATGGTCATAACATTTTGTACAAAACTCCAAATGATGAATGGTTTAACTCTCTGAAAATTAGACTTCAAACTTTCATTTGTTGCTCATCTCCCAATTCCTTATATATTACGAGATATAAGCTTCCAAAGTCAGCCCCGTACAACAGAGATTTCTAAACTCTTCCCGGACACCCTATAGTATATCTACCATAACTTTTTGTGCACAACTCCAAATGACAAATGGTTTCTCTTTCTGAAACTTAGACACAAAGGGTTACAACTTTTATTTTTGGATCATCTCCAAATTCCTTATAAATTGCGAGATATGAGCCTCTAAAATCAGACGACGAACAGCAAAATTTCCTTCTTCGCGAACGCGAGAACCTCTTCGCGAACGCGAAGAACAAAGTCCTAACAGCAAAATCCTTTTTCACGAATGTGAAGAACAACACTAGAATCAGCAACCAGCAGCATCAAAACACCCAAACTTGGTCCGAAATCACCCCGAATCAAACCCGAGGCCCCCGGGACCCCGTCCAATCATACCAACCAGTCCCAATACATAACACGAACCTGCTCGAGGCCTCAAATCACATCAAACAACATCAAAGCCACGAATCATACCCCAATTCAAGCCTAATGAACTTTAAAATTTTAAATTCTATATCTTGTGCCGAAACACATCAAATCAATCTGGAATGACTTCAAATTTTGCACACAAGTCATAATTGACATAACGAAGCTATTTCAATTTCCAGATTTATGTGAGGGAAATAGAGAAGGAGAGGGGAAGGTAAGAGAGAAATGGGTGTTCCCCCGTTATTTCAATTCTGATTTCAGAATTACCGACCAAAGTTGGTCGGTAATTTTGGTCGGTACATTAAGTGTTGACCGTTTGACCAAAACCGACCAACTTTGGTCGGTTTCTTTTAAAAAAAAAATTAAATTCTTTTTTTTTTGTATTTTGTTTTCTTAAAATATTATAAACTTTTAAAAAAAATATTATAAACGATAAGCATTTATTTTATTTAACTATACAATTATTATAAATAATTATAAACTATAAGCATAATCTTTATAAATAATTATATTAACTATTTACTTTTAATAAATTATAATAGTATCTGTCTAAGTAAATTTTCTAAGTTATAATTAAGTATGTGAGTAATTTCTCTCACACATGCACATACCCTATATTGTAATTGATGCTAATAACTTCTTTTTTCATTCGTTCATCACTAATAATGCATGACATAGATTAATCGATATATAGGTCGAGACGTTTTGATGAATCATCGATTAATATTCATCGATATATCTAAGTAAGTTATAAGTCGATGAATCAATTTACAAATAGATATATTTGATGATAAAGTATATATACTAATTAGTATCTTCCCAAGTTTATCCCTAAAAGAACCCGGCCTTGTGGTCCTAGCATTTCGTGTTCTTATATATATACGGCTATATATATATATACACACACACAAATACACTTCACTGTAATACTTTAACTATATATATATAGCTTGTTATAGTATATGTTAGTGTGTATATATATAGCTTATTAAAGTTTGACCATGTTTGACCTATTAATTTAACTCGTTTACTTAATACTAATAACTTCTTTCGTTTATTTAATTTATGATCTCTCTCTCTCTCTCTCTCTCTCTCTCTCTATATATATATATATATATATATATATATACACACACACACACACACACTACATTGTAATACTTTAACTATATATATAGCTTGTTATAGTATATGTTTGTGTGTGTGTGTATATATATATATAACACGCTTCGTTGTACTACTTTAACTACATATATAGCATGTTATATATAGTATATGTTAGTGTATTCATTATTTGTATTACAAAAGTATTATTGAATTACATTTATATTATTTAGATAGTAAATATAAAAGTAATTCAAAAGTTTGACCAATGTTGACGTAATAACCGACCAACTTTGGTCGGTTATTTTGCAGAAAATAACAATTACCGATCAAAGTTGGTCGGTAAATGCTTCCCCTGCATTAACCGACCAACGTTGGTCGGTAATTTTAAATATAAATTCTTAAATATTATAAAATATTTTAAATAATAAAATAATTGTTAAAATTTTAAAAATTGGGTCAAGATTACCGACCAACGTTGGTCGGTAATCTAAAATTTTCTTGTCTGACCAGCTGGGTCAATTCGTTGACCAATTTACCGGCCAACGTTGGTCAGTATTTAGTTTTAAAAAAATATAATTTTTTTTTTCCAGTTTCTGTCCAAGCTGGACGGTTTTTGGTCGCTTTTTTTGGCCGACCAATATTTGGTCGGTTTTTAGCGGTTTTTTAGTAGTGTTATGTGAGCTAGGGTTCGTTGCCATGTTTGGTTGTGTGATGCCTGTTGCATCATCAGCTTCAATATATGAACTTTTTGTTCTGCTCTGACTGACTCACTGTTTTCGTTCTTAACTTTGAAGGATCCATCTGATAAGAGGAAAATAACATGTGATGAGAAGTTGAAAGAACTGTTTCATGTCGATAGCTTCACGGGATATGTAGTAGCAAAACTACTTGCTCCACATTTTATAAAGGTCAAAGCTCAATGTACTATGAAATTTTTTCATTGAGCTCTAAGCTAGATACTAACTCCTTTGATTATCCTTAATTCGTGTTGCATATGTTTTAAAGTGACTATGAGTACTGTCTGCTCAGGCTTGTACCGTGTCTTGTCATACGAGAGATAAGCTCCTTTTTGTCCAACTATGTCGCTAAGTTAGGACTTATCTTCGGTGAGAAATGTGAATATTAATAAATCTGATTTACATTTCATGTTTATGCTGTTCTAATCCGAATGATATCCAGTTGTAATTGGTTCAAAATATTTTGTGCTTATCTTAGATTATCCTGTATATGATTTGAGAGGGTTACAAAATTTCAGCTAACAAATGTTAAATTTAACTATCGAATGCCACTTTAAACTAGGTGCAACTATTCTATGCCCGTGAACGCAGAATGTAACTGAAGTTTCAGTCTCATGTTTTTGTTTCTTCGTCTAAAGTCAAATTGGTGGTTCAGATTGACACCGTTCTAAGTGCAGATTAACACGGGTCAACTTTTTGAGTCTAGCATCCATACAGTTTTGGGGTTAGAGAGGAAAAAGGGCTCCGCGCATCCTCTTCCAACACGCTTTGATTTTTTTTCTTTCTTTTTTTAAAATTATGGTGACACCAGTTTATATGCATTTTGACTATTTCAATTGTTAATAACCTCCGCACATATACTTAATTCTCTCTATCAAGGTTAAAATAGATGAAAAGAAATTTTTTTGTTTTTTTTGTTTTTATTAAAAGTTGAACTCTGGTCTCTAATGGTTTGTATTCCATTTTATTGACTACTCGGTCACCCCTTGAGTGTCCTAACACAGTATTTGTCATACTTTTGAGATAGTACCAGAAGTAGAGTTGTGTGAGAAGAATATCAAGTAGATCTTGAAAGATATGGTAGGAATCGAAGCTGCCACACAATCAGTGGCGTAGCCACCTTATAAGAAGGGGTGTCAAATGACACCCTTCGCGGGAAAAATATACTATGTAGCTAGGTAAAAAAATAAATTATATGTATATATACTATGTATTGACTCCCCTTAATTTTTTAGTATGTTTACTTTTATATATTTTGACACCCCTTAACAAAAATTCTGATTCCATCACTGCACACAATTAATCAATGATGACCATTGAAAACCGGTGCATATGATACAAGGCCAAGTTGCCAAAACCACCAAGTAACGTTCACAAGAAAGAAACGAGATTATGGGGATGACAATTCTCGTTATGGCAGTGTCCAATTTTGACTAAATGGTGTGAAAAAAGAGTGAACCGGAGAAGATATATGGTGGGAAACACGTGGAATTGCCCCAACAGTTCAGACAACAGAGAACGAAATCCCAAATTGAGAGCACAAAGAAATCCTGAATGAATAATTATCATTTTTCTCTTTACGATTTTGGTATGTGGTGAATGCTTGTTGCTTCTTAGCTTTTCCTGGAGGTACTGGTCTTCAACTACCTCACATTTGGGTGTCCGATGCCTTATGATAATAATAACAAGAATCAGAATCATTGCCAACGTATGAGCCTTATCTGCTTCTACTACCGTGAATTTTGGGTTGGAATGTTTGAATTTTAGGTAAGATGAAAACAAGATTCAGCAAACAAAATCTATAGTAAAGGCTAATGAAGTCTTTAGTCTTGCCTTGACTTTGTAATCTAATAGGAGTATTTTATATCTCATGTTCAAAGCCATGAAAATGTGAGTATTGTGTTTAATTTGTATGTTGATACTGCATAACTAGAAGTATCCGATTCGTATCTAATGCAAAGATCATATCACCTTTACATTTGCATTTCCCGAGTCAAATTCTAGGTAGCACCTGCACATTTTATTTCAGAATTCAGACTGTGTAGCAGAAACGGAAGGAAAATTACACTTTTCCTTTCTTTGATATTTGGATATTAAATTAAGAAGCCATTATTAGTAATGCAAGATAACTCTTCCTTCACACATTTATTGCTTAATCATGGTTAATTGATACATATTCTTATCGTAATTTGTAATTACTAAGATTAATACTTTTTTTTTTATTTAAACACAATTATGGATTGTGGGTAAGTATTTACTCGGATACCACTTTTTTTTTCTAAATAAGAACTTTTTCTTGATAAATAAAAAGACTGTTCCAACTAGATAGTGCTCGAACAATGAAGTGAGTTTGTTTATTCGTTCTTTTTCTTTTCTTTTTTGGGTCCTCTTTTGAGGTGCTGTTCCTGGTTTCAGTAAAAGGTGTATGTAGATTTATATATTTAAAACATAAGTTGAATGTTAACAGGAAAAAGACTAGTAATCCTTACTAACAAGCAAGAAAATAAGGGAAGAAATTATCACAAAATATAGTCCCTCCATTCGTTGGATGCACAAAGTTAAATATGGACAAAGTACAGTTTGAGCAAAGAGGGGACAAAATATAATGGTGAAAAGATCGAGCGTTAGTCACTGTTGGTTGAGATAGAGATAGATAAATAGATAGGACTTTCTTAGGAGAATCAATGAATTAATGTTTAATGTCGTGTCATCTGCGAACTCATCCATCCATTTTTTTTCTTCCCAAAAGGACAAAAAAGATAAGAAAATTGGTGCTGCTTCATGTTTGCCGCATATTTTGCATTGCTCTCAAACCCCAGCCTTTACCTCTGGCCACTCTATATATATATATATATATATATATATATGACTAACTTTTATTTGGAAAACTTTCTCGCACTAATTTTATCGGGTATTTACCATACTTTCTATCAGCACAGATACCAAATAAATCTTTTCATCAAGTTCATATAGATGACAAGAAATAAAGTATATGTGTTAGTATAATTTTATTTATAATATTAAGTTATATTAATTTGTAACTATCGATCTATCATAAGTGAGATTAATAACCTGAAATATAAATAAAATAATTTATTATGACAAGTTAAATTGCAGTAATAACAACAATAATAATCATAATATATTCAGTATGATTTCACAAGTGAGATCCGAAAAGAATATGGTATGCGTAGACTTTACCGCGACATCTCAATATTTGTTTTGATGTACTATTTAAACTGCTGTCATTTTGGAATATATCTCTTTGAAGATCCCATCAAAATGGTAGTCCTCAAAATCATCACATGATCAGTGTACACACTGTAGAGAATCAGAACTATTCTTCATCTTTATTTCTTTTAGAAATTTTTATGAAGAGGGGAATAAAACCATCTTGAAAGAGGCGCTCTTGGAAGATTAATATATTGTACATGGTCAGTTGGACTCCGTATCAGCTTGGCATCCTTGGTTCTTTATATTATGAATCAAATTCAACCATTACAATTCTAAGATTAATATAGTCAACCACTTCGTCTTTTCAAAGCCAAAAAGTTGTACAAATTTGGCTAAGACAAAACCAGCTTGTTTTATCATAAACTTGTTGTGAAATATTATACGTAACCCACTCAACTATTCCTTTGACTCCCATAACTACTCCTTTATCCCGTTCGGGCACTTTCTCTATAGTGTCAATTAGGATATCGTTAATAACTTTTTATTTTGACTTCAAACCTTGTGTTCCCATATTATATTGTCGATTAGCAAGTCTTGAGAAAAATTCCTATAGATATATATAAGTAATTAATACACATTGTAATGCAATGGTTCAACACACAATTACCTAATAGAAGCTCTCCCCCCCGCCGTCCAATTATCGACGTATATACCGAACTTTTACTAGTTAGGTTTTACTGAATACACCAAAGAAATTATTATGAAATGCTAAATAAGGAGTAAGAAATATGAAAACATACATGCATCTTATAAGGAACTCAGGCTACTAATATCAAATGGTTTAATTTATTGACAAAAGTATGTACACGATCAAGTCACTTAGAAACTACTTACATGTTAGTGTCTATACTTGGCATAAGTCGATATTTAACTACTTGGAGCAGGCGAAACAACTCTAAGCATGTAAACATTCCTAACATCTTAAACTTTAGATTCGATAATCAACAAGAGAAATCAAAACTCCTATATACTTTGAATTGATGCCTAATTCTTTCTTTATTTTTTTTTCTTTTCCAAAATTTTAAAGCTCCATCAAAGGATGCGTCAAGAATCCATACTATATATATATATATATA